GTGCTTTCTTCTTCATCGATTTCTTCTTGATAACTTCTGAGTTTTTCATCCAATTCTTGCTGAAGAGCTTTTAGTTGTTCCTCCAACTCATTCTGATGGACTTGGTGTTTCATTTCTTTCTGTTTAAGGTTCACTTGTTCTTTCAGTAAATTTTCTTGGAATTTTTCTTCTTGTTCCTCTTCTTCTATTTCTTCTTCTTCCTCTTCCTCCTTCTCAAAATAGTTACCTTGTTTCCTTTTGCTTTCCTGAAAGTATCTCCATCTGTTGTCTTGGGCCATACCCTTCTGTTTTGTCAGAACTATTTGCCTTACTTTTTGTTGTTCTTTAGTGTTTCCCCCGCAACTTTCTCTCCATTCCTCCACAATGTCCTTGTCATTTCTTCCTAATTCTGCAGATGTCATTTGAGATCTTTCTTGCTTCTTACAAGTTTCTTGATGTTCACTCAAAAGACCCTTATCCTTCTTTTCATCAATTTTCTGTTCCTGCTTCCTCCTGAGCCTGGCGATTTTCTGAGCCTTTGGTTGTACCTCTTTTAGCAAAGCATAGGATTCTTCATCATAATCTAATTGGCAGGCCAAGGCAAGGTCTTTAGCTGCCTTTTGCCAGTAACCAAGTATTTGCAATGCTTTTCCTCGCCACTTGTAGGGCTGGGCTGAGTCAGGATTTATTTGTATGGCTTTATCACAGTCCCTAATTGCAGCAGTTGGCTTTTGTAACTTCAAATAGACCCTGGCTCGGTTTGCATATAAAATAGTAAGATGTGGATTGAGTTTAATAGCTTCTGTGAACAAATCTAAAGCTTTAAAAAGTTCTCCTTTATTGACGGCATCAAAAGCTTCCCTCTTTTTTTCATTGGCTAGTTTTCTCATTTCATCAGTTACTTTTAAGTTTTCATTTCCCATCTCCTGAGGAAGATCTTCATCTGACTCAATAACCTCTTCAGTATCAATTTCCAATTCACTGTCCTCACTTTCTGACTCACTTTCATATTTTTGTTTCCTCATAGGTCCTTTCTGAGCCCTTCTTTCATGCAGTTCAATGTGCTCTTGTTTTTCATAATCCATAAACTGATCTTGCTCTTGTACTGCAGACATGGGAAAAGTTTCATTTTGATCCTCTGAACAATAAAGAGGGAGTATTTTATAGTTTTTGGAATTATGCAGAATTGTCTTTTCCTCAGAAATGTGAAATGTTCTTGGGTCCTGTTCTTGTTTGCAAGACTCATGAATAACTGATTTATCTTGGGGACCATTTCCTTGTATTTTCCCAGAAGCTTCTTTCATTTTGCTCATCTTCTCTTTACATTCTCCCTGATTACTTCTTTCCTCTGGGTTTTCCCACCATTTAATAATTTTCTCATTTTCTGTTTGTATTTCTTTCATCTTGGCATAAGTATCTTCATCATAATCTAGTTGACAGGACACAGAGAAATCTTTAGTAGCCTCCTGCCAATAACCCAACATGCAAAACGCCTCTCCACGGCACTTGTATGGTAAGGCCATATCAGGATTTAATTTTATGGCACTGTTACAATCCTTTATGGCAGCAGTTGGCATATGAAGTTTCAGAAAAGCACTGGCACGGCAAACATACAAGTTAGTAAAATGGGGGTTTAGTTTGATAGCTTTAGTGAATAACTCAGCTGCTTTTTGATATTCACCTTTCTCCATTGCATCCAAAGCTGCTTTCTTGTTTTCACTGGCCTGCTTCCATTTCTCATCTGTCTCCACATTTTCATATATTATTTCTTGGGAGTCTTTATTATGGTCTAGCTTCATTTTCTCTTCTTTATTCCTTACTACTTTGTTCTCCAGTTCTATGCTAATATTTTCCTCTCTCTGGTCTTGCTTTTGATCCTCTAAAATTATCTGGGCTTTCTTAATCTTCTCCAGTATCTCAGATTCCTTATATGTAAGGATGCACTTTGCTTGGCTTTCAGAAATTCTTTGAAATCCTGATTTTAATTGCTTTAGTACTGAATTGGCCTCTTTATCATATTCTAACTTAGAAGCTAAAGCAAAATCACAGGCTGCTTTTTTAAAACAGCCTAATTCCTTGAATGCTTTTCCTCTCAGTTTTAATGGTTCTGATGATTTGGGATTCAGTTCAATGGCCATGTTGCAGTCTTTAATAGCAGCATTTGGTTTTTGCAATTGCATATAGACATTGGCACGATTGGTGTAAGAACTAGAAATGTTTGGGTTGACCTCAATAGCTTCAGAGAACAGATCAACAGCTTTTTGAAGTTCAACTTTAGCTAGGGCGTCCAAAGCCTTTTTATTCTTTTCATTGATTTGATTCCTTACCTCATCAGATATATAAAGATTTTCGTATTCTATTTCTTGGCTATTATTCTGCAATTGTTCCATGTTTTCCTCATTACAGTTCTCCAAATTGTTTTCATTCCATGCATCTTCAGGAAGCTCACTGTCCCTCTCTTCTATACAGATGTCATTTGCAGTAAGTGTCAAGGAACTGACTACAGTTTCTAATGATTCCCGGAGAAAAAGACGATCTTCAGAATTTGTAAAACTGAGATCAGACCTGAACCTTGGAAGATTACTTGATCCCATGATGACGAAAAATGTTGATTTAGTTGGATCTTAAAGGGAAGGAAGAATTAAAAAAAAACTGATCTAAGAGAGGATTTAATCCTTATTCTAATGAATGATTTTATGAAAAATGGCCTTCATTCCTCTCTGCCATGGTCCTACTTCTACTGTATACTATCATTACTACTTAATGAAGTAAAACTTAGTGTTAGATTCAACAACAAAGAAAGTTTTATGATGTCATCAAACATGTCATCACTGGAATCCTCAAATATTGTGTTGTAAGAATTTCAACAGATGCATCTTATCTCCTTTATTGATTGTTCTTGAATGAGGTTAATGGTAAAATATGTGATGGGGGTGCTTATTTTTTTAAATGCACAAAAATGCTTCTAAATTACTTTATTATATAGAAAATTGTAATATACTGGTTTACTGAAATGTCTTACGAATATTTTTAATTAAAAACTACAAAGTATCCTGATTTCAGATGTCATTCAGACTTCAAAATTTGGTATATCATATTATGGCAGATTGACTATAAAGTGCCAAAATGCTATATGTGGCATGGATACTGCTAAAAACTTTTTTTTTTTTTTTTTTGGCAGATCAGCTTTAAATTGCTAGACTTGTACTCCTGAAAATGAAGTTGGGTTAAGAAATCCCTTTCTGAATGATCAATGGTTTATACTCATCCAGAGCCAAGTTGATCGCATAGCTTCATTTCTAACTGATTTATGCACAAGAAATATTGTGTGTGAAACTAAGATAAAGGGAATAAACTAAGATAAACTAAGATAAAGGGAAAAGAAGTTATAGAAATGAATAAATGCAATCTGATCTTGCAGAGATGATGAATTCCAATATAGGTATTGTAAGATTCAAAAAAAAAAAAGAAAGAAAAAAAAGAAAGCAAAAGAAAAGAAAAGAAAAGAAAAGAAAAGAAAAGAAAAGAAAAGAAAGAAGAGAACTGCAGTTGAGTCACCAGAATGTCAAAATGAGATTCAAGAAGAGACATGGAAAATTACAGCTTTTATTTGTACAAAGAAGAACTGGGTAGACTTATGCCATATGCATATAGACAACAAACATGCAAAGAGAAAAACCACACCTAGGTAAAGCTTGTCTAAGATCGTATACACTTGTTTAGCCAATCAGAGATAAAAGTTTGTTATTCAATGTGGGCAATGTCTTGCCCATGCCCTCCCCCCCTTCCCTTATCCATGGAGTGTTCTTTGTCCATGCTCTGTCCGTGCTTTGTTACCTTACAGAGTATCCCTTGTCCTTGTGTGTTTGTGCTCCTAGGCAGCCATCCTTATCTATGGAGCAGGATGTTCCTGGGAACTGTCTCCAAGGATGTGCCTAGCTCTGAAGCAAATGACAGAAGCGATAGTTTATGATTGCTATGCAGAAAAACCCTTCATCCATGACTGGAAACAGAAATGATAACCCTCAGAATTATCTGGATTTCTGAAAGCCATTTTTAAACAGAAATAAAAGTGAAGGTAAATGCCTATAATTCAGTATTTTGTGTTTTGTTTGGGCATACACTTATTTTTGTTAGTGTGCGATATGAATGATTTTGTCTATGTGTATGTTTCTTGAATAGTAACAATTTATATTTCTGCAAAATAGACATTGCAGGGATTTAGGGTAGAAATACATGATTTGACTTTTAGTATTTAGATGTCACCAATTACTTGATCTCTGAGCCTCATTAATTTCATAGATAATATCTGAGCCACATTAGTTCACTTCTGTGAATGAATATTGCAGCAAATAAAATGGATTAAAACTGAGGTATTGTGTTTTGAATTCAGACTTTTAATTCTTATTTTCTTAGTTCATTGTGTAGTTTACTTTTGTTTTTGTATATTCTAGTTTACTATGGTGAACAGTGAACATTTGTTCACTCTCAAAATTGCTTCCCCCCCCCCCCGAGTGAAGGAATAAGGAAGAATGGTTTAATTTTTAAATCCGATTCTATTTTATAGGTCATTCTTCCCTCCCCTCTCTTTGCTTTCTTTTTTATATCAATTTTATATTATATAAATACTGAGGTTGCATTTTTAGTGGTTCGGTATATATGTGGGTGCGTTGGACTAGAAATTAAGGCACCAGGCTAGAAACCGTGAGTTCTAGTCCTACATTAGCGTGACCTTGGGCGAGTCACTCTCTCACTCCAACCAATCCTAGAAGGGATCTTACTATGGAGAAAATAGGAGGAGGAAGTCGTATTAGATATGTTCGCACTTTTGAGTTATACATAAAAATAAAGGTGGGATATAAATAAATAAACAAACAAACAAGCAAAACAATCTGTATCCTTTTCCTAACACATCCTGAACTTCTTGGTGGTTCGAAACTGTGAATTCGAAAATCTGGGTCTAATCCCGTAGACTTTCATTCATCAGACGGACACACGACATACGTAGGTAGGAGCCCACGTGGCTCAGTTAAGACTCGGAAGTGTGCGCTTCTTCCGCAGGCGCCTCTTCCGGTTCCGCGCTCTCTTTTGCTACGTGTCTTAAGGGGCCTCGTTGGGTAGCGAGCAACTGTGAGTATGGCTTAATTACGGGTATTTCTGATTTTTGTTCTTCGAATTGTTCGCGAAAGAGAGAAAGAATGAGGTCTTGGCGTTTTCAATGCCAAGATTTAGTTAAAGCGCAGCTCTTTCCTCTTCTGGCTGGTTGCAAGATTTTGCAATCTCTCCCAACTTCAGACCTGTCGCTTTTTCATGGCCATAAGAAAGGTGTAAAATTGTCTTTCCTAAACTAACCCCAGGGGACGATTTTTCACCGTGTCCTGTTCGCTGTTTCCTGGTATCGAAAGCCGCACCTACTGTTTTATGTGTTTCCGTGAATTACTGGTAATCTTAATTTAGAACAAGCACTTGTATCTATAAAGCCCCAGCGAATATAATGCCGTTTCGCACCAAACGGAGTCCAAGAAAAACAACAACCGAAGGAAAGCGGCAGAGTGGTTGCAGAAGAAAACCACTTTCTATGCATTGCTTTCTTTTTTTCCCTATAAAAATTGATGACTGTACAAACAAATGATGACTGTTTGCCTATTAGAGTAATTTGTAAAAGAATGGAATCATATTATCCCATTTATGGAAAGATAAGCAAATCTGAGATGAATCCAGGTAGCATTTTGTATACTATATATACCTTGAATTCTTGTATTTATTTATTGTAGATTTAAAATTGAGATAAGGTGACCTCTGGATTATTCCCAGTTTTAATTTTACTATTAATAGCCTCTGAAAAAATAACCACAGGCAACAGCTTTAAGTTTTCTAAACAAGATCAATAATATCAGAGATACTTTTGATTAAACATTTATCTTTGCTTCCATTTATTTTGAAAGTTAATTTGTTTTTCAGTTCATCATGGATCAAGTAATGCAATTTGTAGAGCCCAGCCGCCAGTTTGTGAAAGATTCCATCAGACTTGTTAAAAGATGCACAAAACCAGATAGAAAAGGTAAAGTAATCAAGAGGAAAAATGGGGGAAAGAAATCTATGGTAATATAAAATGTAAGAAACAAACTATTTCTGTAATCACAGTGGATTCATGTCAGGTTTCTATATCAAATCACATGTTTTCAATCTAATAATGAAACCTTAACCCTAAATGAGTGAAAGTAAAAATACTACAAATAGTAGTACAAATTGAAAATAATAAAAATACAGATTAAAAAACTCAAATATAAACAGTAAACTATGGTGGACAGTCAACAAATCTAAAATATATGTCTATTATACTCCACAGTGTTCTTAAAGTGTGGTCACACAAAATACTCTTGAAAGTCTTCAAAATTATTTAACAAATAATGCAATATTAAAATCCTGTCATGAAAAGCAATAGTGGCAGAAAATGTGTTAATTTTTAATAAGGTAAATGCCAATAAACATAACCCATACAACATATTTGGGATCCTCCATAATTTTTAATAGTGTGAAAGAAAAAAAGTTTCAAAAACACTTCTCTAGTGTATTACTAAGTGTTTCATTTGTGAAGTATCTAGATCTAGTATTTCTAGATCGATAAAATATAGTTTACATTTAAAAAGATACTGAAACTTTCTTCAGTTCTTATTTTAACAGTGCAAGAGGTACATTTTTGAAATAGGGGCTACAAGGGGGCTTTTTTGATAAAGTGAGCAGAATGATTGGAACTGGAGCCCAGAAATATGTAATACTAGCTTTATCAGTAGTGAGCACATTTTTTCTAAGTGAAAAGTTGACCTTTTTCTTAGACTTAGAGAAGATAGCTCTCACACAAATGCTGAGTCTAGAAAACACTCAAGAAGTCTGATTGCTCTTTCTTCATTTTTTTGACAATAGCCAAAAAAGCCAATGCAATCGTAGGCTGCATAAATAGAGGGATAGAATCAAGATCATGTGAAGTGCTAGTACAGCTTTACAAAGCCTTGGTAAGACCACACTTGGAACACTGCATCCAGTTCTGATGACCATAATATAAAAAAGATGTTGAGACTTTGGAAAGAGTGCAGATAAGAGCAGTAAAAATGATTAGGAAACTAGAAACTAAAAATTTCGAAGAATGGTTAAAGGAATTGGATGCATCTAGTTTAATGAAAAGAACAACTAGGGGAGACATGATAGCAGTGTTGCAATATTTAAGGTGCTCCTACAAAGACAGGGGATGTGTGTGTCAAATTATTTTCCAAAGCACCAAAAGGCAAGACAAAAAAGAATGGATGGAAACAAGGAGGGAAGCAACCTAGAACTAAGGAGAAATTTTGTAACAGAGCAATCAACCAATGGAAAAACTTGCTTTCAGAAGTTGTGGGTGCTCCATCACTGGAGGCTTTCAAAAAGGGACTGGGTAATCATTTACCTGAAATAGTATAGGGTCCCCTGCTTGAGTGGTTTGGACCAGAAGACCTCCATGATCTAACTCGATTATTCTATGTTCTAAAAAAAACCAATAAATTAATTCCAGTATTCTAAATGCTTTAGGAAATGACATAATATTCTGTAATACCTGTCTGTTTTGTATGACTTAATTGACTTCAGGTCCTACCAATTAAACAGTGCAATCTAATGTGACCCAGTGACTGACCCTCTTCTTTTGGAGCACCTGCATTCATTTGGCCCCAACCTTTCCAATTCAAAAGAACTCTAAAGAGGTGGCTGTCCCCTCAGGCCTTAGGTTGGGTACCTGGTGGGTTCTTCTCAGTTGGGAATATTTTTTAAAGCATTCTTTTGAAGCAAGCATGTATTTTTAAATATGGTGCTTTTTAATTTTTTTGTAAAAAAAATTATCATTTTTAGAGAACAGTGACTTAGGAATTGGATAAATATATGTAATTTTTAAATTCCAGAATTCCAGAAGATTGCCATGGCAACAGCAATAGGTTTTGCAATAATGGGATTTATTGGTTTCTTCGTAAAATTGATCCATATTCCAATCAACAATATTATTGTGTAAGTAAATGTGTTAAATGTTATTTGTTGAAAAAGATTTGACAAAAAGTTCATATAGTTCCTAATATCCTCTTCCCTCTTTACGCCATCTGAGAATCTTGTATGTGACAACAAAATAGTCTGTGATACATGCATTTACTTAGAATATTTCTATGATAGTTTGCTATATAAAAAAATGCCAAAATGTTACAAAGCAACTACCCATATTTTTCGGAGTATAAGATGCAAAAACATTAGTTTTTGGGGAGGAAAACAAGAAAAAAAAAATTCTGCCTCTGTCTATCAGCATCCATCGGTATTCATCTGGCTAGCGTCCTTGCAGCAAATAGCAAACAGCCTGGTCAGCTTCAGCACATTATGGCAGCCTGATTCAGCAGGAACAGCTGGTTGGCAGGTGTATCGGCCTCCCAGAATAACCCCAATCAGCTGTTCCAGGCTGCAGGGATTGCCCCAGAGCATCGCTGCCTCCGTGCCTTGTGTTTTTGGCCTCTGTGCCTCGTGTTTTTGACCTCCGAATGCTCCATTTTAGACCCGCTCCAGGCTGCAGGGATCACCACAGCACATCGCCGCCAATCACTGTCTCTGCGTGTCGTGTTTTTGGCCTCTGCACTCCCCATTTTTTGTCTCCATGTGTCGCATTTTCGGGCAGTTCCAAGCGGGGATCTCTGCTGCCTGGAACCGCCCGAAAACATGATGTGCAGAGGCCAAAAATGGAGCATGCGGAGGCCAAAAATGTGATGCGCAGAAGCCAAAAACGCAATGTGCAGAGGTGACGATTGGCGACTATGTGCTGTGGCAATCCTCATAGCCTGGAATGGGTCTAAAATGGAGTGTTTGGAGGCTGAAAATGTGATGCACGGAGGCCAAAAATGAGAGGCATGCAGGCAGGATGTGCTGTGACGATCCCTGCAGCCTGGAACAGGTCTAAAACAGCGTGTGAAGGCCGAAAATGGCTCGTGGGTGAGGGCTGGTGGATGGGAGGGGCTACATTCAGGGTATAATACACACCCAAATTTTCATCCTCTTTTAGGGGTGGGGGGAAGTGCATTCTATACTCCAAAAAGTATGGTAAATACAGACATAAGCAATATGATTTTTTAAAAAAATACGGGACATTAATAGTGCTGAGATACCACTATATTCTTATTGGTTTCTTGAACAAAGTAGTTTCTTTGAAAAGGGGCATTTCTAAGGCAGGATACTACTAGTGAAAAGGCCTTCTCCCTCATAGTTATTTAATAATGACACTCAAGTAAAAGATTGAATATTAGCATTGATTTTATAAACAGAATGACAGATTTCAATGAGTAAGTTGACTCCTGCCTTTTGAACTAATTCACAAAGCTAGACAATATTCTGGGGCAGTGCCATATGCCATAACATAGTATGCCATATACTCACAAAAGTATAAAGGAGAATCAACAGCTTGATCAATTTCAATTAGAAAAAAAAATCATATTAATGCATTTGAGCTCCAAAGTAAGAACTAGATGTAATAGTACCATCAAATTGTGAATGACATCGAAAAGAAAACTTAAATCAAACAATGTTTCCTCAAATCAGGACTACCATGTTTCCCTGAAAATAAGACCTGGTCTTATATTTTTTTGCCTCCAGAAGAGACACCAGGTCTTATTTTCGGGGGATGTTTTACAAGCTTACTTTAGGACCTGCAGCCTAAGTCAGATTTCCCACGCCCCGACACCTGTGTCACATCACACTGATAACACCGCTTTCAGCAGGATGCTGCGTGGCTTGTCATGCCAGTGCCTCTGTTTATGGCAGGTCGCACTGGTGCTGACACTTAGCCACAGAAGTCAGGCAGCAGTGCGACAGGTGTTGGGGCATAGGTGGCCTGGTTGCAGTGATCCTACTGTAAGCGGGTGCGGGGTGCATCCGCACTGGGGAGCTGCTCTTCCAGTTCATGGTGCTCCCCTGCAAAAATTGTTTTATTTGTGAAATAATTTTATGCTTCATTTTGGACTACATAAATTATCTATTTTGGTGGGTTATTTTGTTAGTATATGGGACTGACTACTTTGATGGTGAGCTATGTCAGCAATGAAAGAGAGAGTGGATGTAAAAGCAACTTTTGATATTGGGTTTTGAAAGTGCATATATCAGTCTCCCTGCAGGATTTTATTTAAAAAATAAATTTCAAAAAGTTTTTTTCTAATTGAGATCCAAAGTAATTTTAATTGAAATTTAATTTTAGTTAATTAAATCTATTTTCCAGATAAGCTTCTTCCATAAGATGGTACACAGTCTTTAGAACCTTAATTAGATCTTTTGGTGTGCAGCTGGTGTGTAACCTTATTATTTACTAACTAATCCAGCATCTTGAATTCATTGAATTGTCTACTGATCAACACATTACTTATTACATACTTTTATATGAATACATTCTTATTCTTGCAGTGAGTTTGTTAATTTTGGGGTAATAATTGTGTTTCTTGAAATATAATTCCACAATAATATCATTGACTATCATGGGGCAGTGTCTCAATTGATGTTCTTTTTTCTTTTTACAGTGGTGGCTAAACACATCAAGAAGACATTACTTTGTGCATGGTAAAATAGCAGATCAACGTGGATTTTCTGACTTCATTGTCTGTGTAGATCTTTTTTAACTTGTCAATATAAACTAGATCTTAAAAATAAAATATGTGTGGTAACCTCCTTGCTTAACTATTGCATCAACTCTTGAAGATTAAACTGATGCGAGCTTTTAGGAAAGAGCAGATAACTTATGAAGTATTCCATTTCTTCTTGGAAGTTGGGAAAACATCAATGCTGTAAAAAAACTGAACAGCATTGAGCAGTTATCTATACAATTGACTTATTTACCATACTTTTGGGGTATATACACTTTCCCCCCTAAAGGGGGGTGGAAATGTCGGAGCGTCTTATAGATCGAATATGGCCATTTTTGGCCTCCTGAATCCCCCCTTCCTGTGCCCCATTTTCACCATAAACAGGCCCGTTTTTTGCAAATTTGGGACATGCAGAGGGTTTGGGAGGCCTGCAGAGTGCTCCTGGGGGCTGGGGAGGGTAAAAACTGGATACACGTAGGCAAGAAACTATTTTTTTTCCTTGTTTTCCTCTTCGAAATCTTGTTGTATCCGAAAAATACAGTATATATCCCTACCTTGAATTATCGCTGAAGATGCCCAACTTCTGTCAGTCTTCATGCCAAAAGAAAATAAGTATGTTTTGCAAAAACATAACTTAACAAATATATTTTAAATTATATCTTTATTAAGGCAATTGTAGATCTCATTACAATGTGGTATTAATTGACATTGCTTTCCAAAAGAACTAATTTCATTACATTTTAGCAAGCTTTAAGAAACAGCATTTGGAAGAAGAGAGCCAAGATAAAATATAATTAACACCGCTTACATTGTAGAATTCATTCTGATTTAATTTTATTTGCACAGACCTATATGATACTTAGCTGCCATGGGATCAGGAGATAAAGTGCACATATTAGATACTATACATACAAACAAACACATTTCCTGTTCTGTCAGTACTGACATACAATTTCTTTTTTTCCTATGTCATTTTAATGCAAGCAAAATAACCGTTTCACTATATCTTTCTTTCCTATGTTTTAATACAAGAAACTAACAGTTTCACTATATCTTTCTTTCCTATGTTTTAATGAAGCAAAATAACAGGTTCACTATATTTTTCTTACATTGTTTTAATGCAAGCAAATAAGTTTCATTATATCTTTCCTATATTGTTTTAATGCAAGCAAAATAGGTTATTGTGGATAGTGATGTGGAGAACACACATTTATTTGTGTGTCTTCCATATCACAAATAAACCTCAGCTATTTGTGGTTAGACCAATAAGAAGGAGATAAAAATTACTGCACTATTAGTGGGAGTTGAATTTACTGAGTTCTTTTCCTTGTAGTGGATAAAACAGAGATGATCTCTGATAGAGCAGAGAGAATGAAATCAGGCTTTGTGCTTATGCACAGATATGTATTGAGGTCTGCAGGGGTGTGTGGGTGTTTGTACTCCTATGCAATTTTTGATTTGTACATCCTCGATTAATCTTCATGTATTTTTTAGTCACAGTAACTTATTACATGGGTATTAATTAGTAATTAATAAGAGGCATTGCTTATTCTAACCAAAAAACTTCAGCAAAGTTTTGCTAAAGAGTTTGAGCATAGAAACAACAGCCGGAATACAGCATGGAATGTTGTATATATATCTGCTTTTGATTACCCATCTTACCGGTACATGTCTTAAAGCAAGTTTTCTATGCATTGGTTATATTTAAAAATACATTCAATGTCAGGCTTTAAAAACATGAATACAGACTTGCTTCAAGAACAAAAATATCATAAAATCTATGGCATTCAATAGAATGAAGCTAAATTTTAAAAACCAACTACGTAAAATGCTGAATTTTTATAAAATCATAAAATTTAATTTTTGAATTTCAAGTTGAATTAAGTAGAGTGACAATCTTTCAAGCATCCCGTTTGTCTTTGATTCCCATTGTCCAAAGCAAAGGCTTGTCAGTTTCAATGGTCACTATCCCAGTTTTGTCATAAGTGTTTGATGTGCTGACAAGTGTTCCAAACTTCAAAATACTTCTATCTGTAATTAAGAAGAAAAGATTAAGATTTTTTGTAATCATTTAAATTTGTAAGTATTTGTATAAAGGTAGTCTTCATTTAATTATGGTAATAGGGACCTGCAACCATGTCATTAAGCGACATAGTCAAGAAGTGTGATGTCATGTGACTGCACCGACTTGGGATGCCAGTTCATTAGGCGAATCTTGTGTGGTTGCAACTTCATAGTCAAGTTATCACTATTTGTGTCCTACCAGCTTCCCCATGAACTTCACTTTTCAGAAGCCAGCAGTGAAGATTTGCAATTTCCCCCATTAACTTTGCTTGTCAGAAGCCGGCTGGGAACATGATCACATGACCCCGAGACAGTACAAGCATCATAAATACAGCTGTTTGTCAAGTGTACAAATTTTGGCAACGTGACTGGGAATGTTGACTGGGAACAGTCAAAACGTGAAAACCAGTCACAAATCATTTTTTTCGTACTGTTGTAGCTGAATGATCATTAAAAGAATAGTTGTAAGTTGAGGACAATCTAGAATTCTTTTTTGATGAAATTTATTTCCAAATCATGATGGTTTGTTGCATATGTGCCATGACTCTTCCCAAAAATTAGGATTCTTCTGAAGGTTTGAAATATATTTATTTGAATCATACTGAGTAATGAACAAATTATAAGAATATTATTTTTATAAATATTTCAATTATACTAGATGACAAGATTTTAGAAAACTAACCTTTTTTAAAAATAAAGCATCCAGAAAAATCTTTTCAATCAACATCTTTAAATTTTTATTAACATGTTATATGTGTGCTCCCAATTCTGGAAAAATAATTACAGGCTCTCAAGTCTGTGGCTAAGGGTTTACTCTCGAGTGTGGATACTTGTATGCTTCAACATTTATCACAACGTAGGGCTTTGTAAAGCATTCCAAAGGGATGCCTTGTCAGCAAAATAAAGTCCATGCAGAGACACCTGAAGCAGCAAGCCTCATGAGCCTCTCAAAAGATGCAGCTGGTTTTGTTTTTCAAGAAGAAGTGTTTTGTTTGTGATAGAGCATAAGCATTTTTTCTAATGCTTTATACAGCCTTATTACCAAGGATAGCAGCCCAGTATTGTACTGTATAAAAGCTAAATTAGTAATAGCTTTTTGTATCCAGGAGATGGCTCTTTTCATCTATTTTCCAGGCAGGTTTTCTTGTGTTGTTTTATAAAATACTTTGGAAAAATGCAATTCATATGACACTTGTAAAAATGTTACAAGCTTAGCATATTTTTATTACTATCACTAAGAATAAAAAAATTAGACAAAAACATGGCTTGAATTAAAGTAGCAAAACTGACATTAGAGGATATAATATATCCTATATATAGGAGTCAGTTTGGTCTGCTGTTTAAGGCACCAGGCTAGACAAGCAAAAGCTCATGTCCTGCCTTAAGCTATGAAAGCCAGCCAGGTACTCGCTCTCAGTCCTATTCACCTCATAGGTTGTGAGGAAAATAGGAGGAGGAAAGTGGGATGGATATGTTCGCTGTCTTAAGTTATTTGTAAAACTAATAAAGATGGGAAACAAACAAAAAACATTCTGGAAACAATACTATCCCCACATTTTCTACATCAAATTTTTCAGTGGCAACTTACAAAGGGAAGAAACAATTGAAAATCTTAAATAATGTGCAATAATATGCATTCTTCACAGTGTGTCTTCTGAGGGAAAAAATGTTACTGAAAGGGCCTTCTTTCCTTCCACTTTTCCTGGAAAATGACTTTCAAAATTAGGAAGCAAATTTGAGGAGGTAAAATTCTCAAAAGTTTTAAATAGCAGTGCATAAACAGCAAAAGTCCAAATGTACAAAATGGAGCAGTTTGTTAGATTTCTGGATTGGGAATTGAGGCCTCTAAGTACTGATTTAAACATTTATCAATATCAAAAATAATTTTGATGCTTCCCTTTGCAAAACAACACAATGAGTGGGCTGTAATACTCATGCTCTCTTAAATCATAGCTAGACTCCTACAATTGGATCAACGTGAGACTCTTGAATATATTTTAGAAGTTTCAGCTGGTACAGCATTCAGCTGCATTGTAGTTATGGACATATCACAGTATGACTACTAATTTGCATTGGCTAAGACTTCGTGGTACATATATTTAATGGTGATGTCACTGTCCAATGTCTCAGGGCCAGGAAGCCTATGAGAGACATTGGATTGAATCTGCTTATCCAGTGATATTGGGAAAAGAACTTGTTGAATGTTCTTTCTAATGCTATCTGTTAGGATATGGTTTGAGCCTAACAAGTTGTCCAGGCAATATATGTGCCTGGACGTATATGGACAACAATATCCTTAACACTATCCACTCGGACATCTGGGTGGAGCTTTCCCAGTGATGAGCTCCCTTTTTGGGAATAGCGTAAATCAGCATATACCACTTCTATCTGCCTTGGTTTCAGAAATAAGATGAACTCCTGATTCTTTGAAGGCTATTTGGGAATGACCCTATTCACAATGTATGAGGTGATTTCACGCTGGGTTTTGGATTTTATTTTTATCTTTCCTGTGGTTTGCAAAATTTAGTGACATAAATAGTATCAAGACTGGCCTCAAATTTGAGGTCCTTTTTACAATGAGGCTGCCAGTTGTGTCACCCCAAATTCAGCCTTTTGGTTGAAGGCAAAAATCTTCCCTTTGGATTATTATACAATTCAAGGGGTAGAGAACGTTCTTCTGTTCTTGATTGCTAATGGTCTCTGATGAATAAACTATATTCAACACCATATATACTGTATATTCAACACTATGTACTGCATCATTTTTAAAAATTGATTCCTGTTTGAATTTTTATTTAGCTTTCCATTCATCTCTCTCATATCTATCTCTTTTTCCTCTATCCTTTTACAACATGCAGATCATCCTAATCCTTCCATTCCCCTCTCCATCCAATCAGAACTGATGAAGCTTTTTCGATGAGAAGTGAAATGTCTTCAAGGAAAAACAAAGTCCAGTTGCCTTTTCAAAAAGTACCTTTGAGAAATGCAGATTATATTCTAATAATTTCTTTTATTTAAAGGCAATATTTTACCAGAATTGCCTTTAAATAAAATAGTATTGTCAGAGGTTTTCTTTTTACTTTTTTATTCTTGATTTTTATTTTTTTTCCAAATTATTGTATTTTTTAATCTATAAAGGAATTGAATATAATACAGTTCTATGTGTCTGGATTCCTTCTGTCTTTCATTCTTGGAAGCAGTTTGCATCCCAGTTTGGTCTTTGCATGTGTATATGAGAATTTTAGGGTCATATCCAACATACTAAATCTTCTTGAGGGGAGATTAGGAACTTCACAAATGCTGCATAAATGGAACAAGCAAATTATCAAAGGCATGTAACTTGAAACTTCTCTAAATTGATTTCTCTGAATTTTGGTACTATTCATTCCTGCATAAAATTCTAGTATCCTTATCATTTTTCTATTCTGATAGAAATTGAAAAACATAGATATGGAATTTAACAAGTCTGATTTTATATATAGAGACTATATAAAATGTCCTGTTCAAATAATCCCTGCAAAAACTATATCTTACATTGGGTATGATTTTTGAAAAAAACATTTTAGATAGGGAAGAAAAAGTGTCATTTTCTTTCAGCTCCAGAGGTTAGCTGAGATAGATTACTTTTGGAGCAACATGTGGTAGGCTAAGCTGTTTCTCAGGGACATGCTTTGGTCTATAATAAATCTGATGGGGTTTTTTTGCAGCCTTAAACAAAACACAAGACATCTTTTTTAAAAAGCCACTTATTTTAGTTTCAATCCTGGACATCTGCAATTCTTTGAGGCTGGGGAGAAAATGGTCCAGGAGGAAAAAAAAATATCGTGCTTGCTTTTGAGTTGTGAAAAGTTACCTTCATCCTCCTTGCTAACACATGCCATAAAACAGCTATCATTCTACATTGCTGCTGTGGATTGAAAATTGCCTGAAGGTGCCTTGTGGATTCATGACTAATGCAATGTTATACTGGACATTATCTAACTCATACTCTCCTTGATGTCTCTGTGCATATTCAGCTGAATTTGTAATTGTTTCTTTCCTCTTGTAATACTTTGCAAGATTGACACCACTAATCCCATGGAGGTGTCTATCTAAAGTGTCTGTCTGAAGAATTATTTCTTTCAATTTCCATTATTCTCATGAAGCACTCTAAACACATGGGAGAATTTCTAAAGAAAGCTACAATTTTAATGAGAATTTATACTGCCTTTAAGTGAGCATGTCTTAAGTAGATGATTTCTACAGAGAACAAGATACAGATGATAGGAGGACATTCAACATGGATAGATGAATCTTGAAATATGGTGACAACAATTAGGAATTATTGCAGATGGTAACTCAGGAATCTGTAAATGTAAAGCATATTAATATCACTTTGGAAGCAATAAGGATACATACAAATTTCAACTAATTGAACTTTAAATCAATTAAATAAAGGAAATATGTAGTTTAAAATAAATTTACCTTGATACCTATGATAGTAAAGGCTGGAGTTATAAAATAAGCAGTTTAGTTTAATCTTAAATGGCTAGAAAGGGTAAGAAAGGGCAAGATAGAGTTTGGGACTGAATTTACTTTTAGGGAAAATCTAGATATAAAAATTTAAAAGGAAAATTTGTAGAATTATCTCTGGGAAAAAAAGGATTTAATTTTCTGGTGTAAAAAAACTTTGTGCTTAGAAAATTACAATATTACAGAAAATTGCTAATTTCTAACTGGATTATTTTAATGTGGGCAAATGTAATCCTTTAAGTGCAGTCTGAAGTGGTGATATCTGAAAATAAAATCTGCTAATTGATTACATAAGTAAAGATTTAAAATCAAATTCGGCTCATGGTGACTACACAGACATGCCCATATAAATTTTCTTGGCCACAATAGAGAAGCATTTCACCACTGCCATCTGCCCTGATGCATATTTGAATTCGCAAGTAGCCTTTTGTCCTTCAGGTTCTTGGTATCTCCCA